TGCAAAGCATGTATCTCTTATCCACTGTACTATCTCTTGGCTCCATTTGGCCTATTTTTCCCCTCTTGATATTTGCCAAGAGTCGTTATTGACTCCTGAAGATTTCCCTTTCTTTCTAAGAGTTTTTAATTAAAAATTAAAAAATATTTATTTTGAGTTACTTTGTGGATGTGTATGAGGCAAGGGTTCTAGCTCATCAATTTGCTTTCCAATACTTAGATTCTTTCCTTAATGGACAGAAGTTTGCTATGAACAATCTGGATATTAAAAAGATAGAGATGCTGTTAAAACAAAAGTGCTCAACATCTTTCAGTTTGGAGAACATCATTGGGATGAAGGTAAATACTGAGTAGAGACAAAGATTTTTGGCATCTGTAAAGTCTTCCATGTTTTTTAAAAGCAAAAATCTCTATCTTTACAGCAACATGTTAATTCTGGGAATAAATGCATGCAATACCCTTCCACCAGTTTTTGATTTTAATTGTTTCCAGGTGTTTGTCATTCGCCAGCACAGGTCTAACAATAGTGATTCCCAGGGCCTGAGTGATAGTACGCGGTCAACAGGGATTTGATCCTCAGCATCTCCTATGGTCCCCTGAGCACTGCCTGAGCATGCCAGAAGTAATTCCTGAGTGCAGAGCCAGGAGCACTGGATATGACCAAAGGCCGGGGGGGGGGGGGAGGGGGAAGAACAGTGATTCCCAGTCTTGATTGCACTCAGAATCACCTGAAGGGAAACATAAAAAAAAAAAAAAGTTCTGAAGCTCAAACTGCTCAAAGAGCTGATTTACTTGGTTTGGGATATAGCTAGGTTACTGGGAATTTTAGAAATGCTATATAGGTGGTTCTAACAAGCCAGGCTATGAATCACTTCTCAGAACCCTGGATTCTAGTTCTGACTTCCCTTCTAATCAGCTCTATGTTCTTGGGCAAGGCAGGTAATAGCGCTGAGCCTCAGTTTTCCCAAAGGTAAGGTGGAGCTCATCTCTGATTTATCCACTTGCCCAAAGGGTCATAGAAGACTGTGTTTATGGAAAGACTTTGTAAACCAGATGTTTTTATTAGGATTATTAATCATATTTATATTTGCTGACTTAACATACAACAAAGCTACTTAGGGGTAGAAAAGTTTGATCCTTCTCTCACTCTTTTTTTTGGGGTGGGGTTATGCCCAATAGTATAATCTACACTATACTATACTACACTACACTATAATATCTTTTGTTGTTTCCACTTTTTTTTTATCTTTGCTAAGTTCCCCCACCAGCTTCACACCAGGCATACAGACTCTTCTCTGCTTTAGTTGTGCTCTGGGTATTACACTCAGCTTTAGAAGGGCTGTCTCAGCTGTCATCCTAGTGCCCTTTGCCCTGTTTGTGAATACCCAGCCTGGTCTGACCTGAACTCAGCATACTGGGTGTACTTCATACTCAGACCGTCGTCTTTTCCAGACCAATTTCTTTTCTTTAGTATGTATGAAACTTTTTATTTTATGATTTCATTTTATTTGCAGAGAGATTGAGCAAAGCCCCAATTCTCATACTTCTATCTGGTGGTAAAGCCATTGTTAGAATTCTTTGAGGCTAGAGGCTGCTCTCAGTATCAACAAGAAGAGCAGGGCTGGCCAGGAGCGCAGAGCATTTTCCTTTATAAAAACCAATCCCTGGCCTTCATGAGTCACATCATCAGCAACCTGTGGATTAGGCACTTTTTAACCCCCGGATCACCAAGGAGTCAGGCCCTGTCCAGGGAGCTGAGGTGTGAATTCCTGTCTGAGCTCAGGGCTGGCATCAGAATCATGATTTCTTCTAGTCCCTGTGTGCTCCTAGACATTGTCTCCTCTCTGTAACTCATAATCATGGGGCAACCCTGGCAGACTTAAATCTACTTACTAGGGCTATTTTGTATAGGTTACATTTCTTTACAATGTCTCTCATACTCAGGATTTGAGATAAAGATGGATGAAACACTCTTATTGGGCTCTAGTACCTTACATGACAGGAACATCTGTTGACACTCATTTCTTTCCTTCTTCACTGTCCAGGCCTGTTTTCTTTCCCCACAGATTCAGGTCCTTAGAATTCTTCAGTTCTAGGAGACAGGATGTGTTTCTGAGGTGAATATTTGTGGGGCTTAAAACTTTAGGTGAGACAGGCAGGCTTTCTCCAAGATTCTAAATCACCTTTGGCCATGCTACTGGGCAATTTCTTTTGTTTAGGTCCTAGAACAAAACAATGCCATGCTAATATGGACATATCAATCAATTATACAAAAGAATAGTCATTGTCATGTGGAGAAAGGTAAAGGATTGTGACTCCATCTTTCTTTAGGAAGGTTCCAAGTCTGGTGAGAGGAAAGCTTGAGTACAGAGGCCTAGGAGGATTGTTGGGGCAATCAGGGAGTGGGAAACAGGGTTTTGGGGGAACCTGAAAGAAAAACTATAAAAAAGAGTTATCAGACAGAAATGAACCTAAAAATTTCTTCCCAAAACTCAAAGAACTTGCTGTGTCCAAAGTTTCACTCTGTGTTCAAACTTAGAAGTTAGACACGTGAGTTGTTCAGATCCCAGTTAATGGCCATGTCACAAGGAAATTTGAAGCTTTTCTCAATATGTTTCCTTTCCCAATGTTTTTTCAAAATAGGAATATTTTTTATAGGGAAACCTTAGAGTGTTGTTGAAAGGATCAAACAAAAAATATGCCAAAGTAGTAAATAGGTTGTTGGGTATATAAATTTTCATGAAATGATATCATCATTGCCTTCATCATCACTTTTACCACACTCATTTTGAATGTTTTCTTGGAGCTGCAAGTCTGGAGGATTTCCATAGAAAGAGTAGAGTCCTTTCAATGGGTGCCTGTTCTTCTCAAGAATCTATCCCAAATAAGATACCAAAACTTGAGGAAAAGGAACTTAGCAGAAAATTTAGGGATAGAAGACAACCCATTAAAATCCCATTGCAGTCACTGAGTCAATGTTTGCATTGGCAGTTTTGTTGATGAATTCTGTAATATAGTCTGGGCTCTTATGCCTTCAAAGTAAGTGACTGGTTGCCACCACATAGGCTTGGGCAATGTACCTGGGAAATGTCTGCTCAAAATAGAATTTTTCCCAAATTCTTCATCTGAGCCAACTTGCCTAACAAGAAGAGGGAGTAAGGAGGAAGAAATTATTATCATCACCCCAACCATTTCCACACACTGTGTCTTAAGGTTCACAACAAAACTATGGGGATGGATAGCATTATTACTTATGAGGAAAACAAGAATCCAAAAGGGGAACCTACTTCTCTGAGCTTTTTTGTAAGTAGGGAAGCAAACCCAGGTCCTTTAGCTTCAAAGTGATCTTTTTGTTTTGTTTTGTTTTTAAATCTCATCCTGCCTTTGATGCAGATACATACTTTTGAAATGGCCTCTATTGCTTCTGTAACCTTCTATGATTTCCTTCTGAAACTAATATTATTTCTTTGCTGAACAAAAGAGAGAAAGAGTGATAGGCATCAGAAGGAGAGAAGGTTACTACTTACTTGAGAGTCATTGAGGGAAACAAAGAGACTTGAGAGAGAGTATGGGGGAAATTGACTGCCATAGAGGCAGTGGGAGGGCTGTGAAGGGCGAGCATACTGGGGACATTGGTGGTGGAAAATGTGCATTGGTGGAGGGATGGGTGTTTGATCATTGTATGAATGGAACTCAAACACGAAAGCTTTGTAACTGTTTTTCATGGTGATTTAATAAAAAACAAAAACAAACACCCAAACCAGAGACTCTCAAGGATTTGGAAGGATCAAATGGTTGTAGAACCCAGGGGTGATTGACAATCATGCTCTTACTCAAGACAGTGGTCTCATGAAGTGACAACATTTACATTGGCATCCCTTGGCCTTCAAACTTGTGTGGAAGTAACCTCAGTTGGCAATCCACTTCTAGTGGTGGTTGGTTCTCTGAAAGGGAAGTCTGGGTAGGCCTAAGGGGGAAAAATTTCCTAGAAACTCAGGTCAGGTCACCATGGGGACAAAGATGAAGACCCCACTCTCCCTCGCCTTTTCTGTTGAATCTGAAGCATTGTTTATGCCCCAACACGGACTCTGGTGCTCTCAACCCAGGGATCTGATGAATTTTTCTTCTGGCCGTAACTTGTCTTATATCCAGGTCGAGTGGCTTCTGTGTGGATTGGTAGAGGTTTTCCACTGTATGAGCCAGATAGTATTTTAGGCTTTAGAGACCAGAGGGGATTGGTTGACCTTCCTCAGCTCTTGCCATAGTAGCACAAAAATGGCACAGAGAACACCAATAGGCAGGAGCATCACTTTGATTTATCAAAATGGCAGAAGGCTGAATGTGGTCAGTGGACAGCCATAGCAGATCTTGGCCTTGTGCTCTTCTCATTTATCTGCCTGGCTTTGCTTTCCAACTGTGGCTGCTTTATTGTGTTCAGTCTCTTCATGAATTCACACATTCCCTCATACTTAATGAATTATTTCCTTGAGGAGGTTCAGAATCAAGGGAAACCTGGAGAAATTAAACCCCTCAGACTGGGAACAGAGAGCATTCGAAAAGATTTCTCAGGCCAAGTTCCTTTCCAGGGACTCTCATGGCAGAACCTCCCAGGTTTGGAGTCCCGAATTCCCCAACAGCTGCACCCTGGGTTCTGGCTGTTCTCCCCTCTGAGTAATGGGGACACCCTGTGGGGCTGCGATGATTGTGATGATTTTGCTTCCTTTGAAGCCATCTGATGAAACCCCGGATTCCACCAAATAGCAGCAAACAGGAGGAGGCAGGTGTGACACAGCAGAGTGGAATAATTTTATGAGATGAAGGGACTCTTTGGAGGCAGCTAAGTAGCATATTTGGGTGAAAAATTAACTGAAGCGTGAGGAAAGGAAATGAGGCTGGCTGCCAAGCCCCCACCCACCATTAAGAGTATAAAAGGGCCTGGGAGGAAGGGGAGACTCACATTGCACCCACATCTACCTCCATCTGCTCACCTGCCCTTCCATCAGCCCTACCTTCACCATGCCTTACAACTGCTGCCTGCCCAACATGAGCTGCCACTCCAGCTGCTCCTCCAGGCCCTGCATTCCCCCCAGCTGCCATGGCTGCACCCTGCCCGGAGCCTGCAACATCCCTGCCAACATCGGCAGCTGTGGCTGGTTCTGCGAGGGCTCGTTCAACAGCAGCGAGAAGGAGACCATGCAGTTCCTGAATGACCGCCTGGCCAGCTACCTGGAGAAGGTGCGGCAGCTGGAGTGTGAGAACGCTGAGCTGGAGCGCCGCATTCAGGAATGGTGCCAGCAGCAGGTGCCCTACGTGTGCCCCAACTACCAGTCCTACTTCCGCACCATCGAGGAGCTGCAGCAGAAGGTGAGGGATAGGCTAGAGGGGGGGGGGCACAGCAGTAGCCCACTGTCTTTGAACCACCAGGGGTTCTCATGGTCAAGTGGTCCTCACTGCAGGATCTTGTTTTCAGATTCTGTGTGCCAAGTCAGAGAACACCAGGCTGGTGGTGCAGATTGACAATGCCAAGCTGGCCTCTGATGACTTCAGGACCAAGTAGGTTGAACCTTTGGACCAGTTGACCTTCTAGGGGCCTCTGGCTTATTCATGGCCCTGTGTTGCCAGGGAAGGAAGAGAAAACCACCTGTCCCTATGTCATAAGTCAACTGTTTACAGAGACCAAGACAGACATGTGTTATACCTGTTCTTCAGCTCTTTCTAGAAAGCCTTTGTAAATCGCTGAATATGGAGGAATAGTACTAATATGCCTTAATTTCATGGCATATCAACCAACATCATTGAGAAGAGAGGAAGGGACTCCATCTCTTGGGTCCTGGGGGGCTCCTTCTGGTATTAAGGGAGTCAGGACACCTCAATCCTATCAGGCATAGCTGGAGGACCATGGACAAGGAGCCAGGTCTACCCCATTAGTGAGAGACCTGAGCTTGGGTAAAGGGATGGGGGTGCTCTTTGGCTCGTCCTCCCACTTGGATCTATGTGAGCAGGTATGAGATGGAGCGCTGTTCGCGCCAGCTGGTAGAGTCAGACATCAACAGCCTGCGCCGCATCCTGGACGAGCTGACCCTGTGCAAGTCTGACCTGGAGGCCCAGGTGGAGTCCCTGAAGGAGGAGTTGCTGTGCCTTAAGAAGAACCATGAGGAGGTGAGAGGGAGAACCCCAACACTGGGCTCTGGAGTAAAGCTTGTGAGCACTGGCAGTCTGGAGGAAATTTCCAGCAGCGTCTCTGATTTGGGACCTTCTCCATCTAAAGCACTCAGAATATGGGGCTGTGTTTTCCACAGTGAGGAGGAGGCCAGCTGCCAGTTCTTAAGCTGCTAGGGTTTGAGGTCTTGGTGGTGTATGGAAGTTACCCCTGCCCCTATTCCTCCCCGCCACTTTTTGAACAGAACTCTCTGTTCAAAAACTCTCTGACAGGGAAAACCTTAGTCAGCCTGCATGGAGATAGGATTGGTCTCAAAAGTAAGTCATGGGAAAGTGAATTTTAATAGCGGGGATTTCAATCTGAGGGGAGAGGCTGAGCAAAGACACTGAAGTGGGGGGGTCACTTCTGTTTCCATGGGGAAGTATGACCAGACATGCTGTTCCTGCAGGGATGTGAAGACAAGGGGGTAGAGGGTGAACATGCCAAGGTTAGGCTTGATCTTTTGGAAACGTGGGTTTCTTTCTGTTTCATAGTACAGGTATTGGTGTGAGACCTCTGGGTACCTTTCCTACACAATACCTGTGCTGGCCTTTGAAGAAGGATCTGTATATTCCTTCGGTGCATGGCTGGGTTGTGTTTCCTTACAACAGGGAAACCACAGATCCATTTTTGGGTTTTATTCCTGACATTTATTTCCTCCACAGGAAGTCAACACGCTGCGCTGCCAGATTGGAGACCGCCTCAACATCGAGGTGGACGCTGCCCCCACTGTGGACCTGAACCGTGTGCTCAATGAGACCCGTTGCCAGTATGAGGCCCTGGTGGAGACCAACCGCAGGGATGTGGAGGAGTGGTTCACCACCCAGGTGGGCACCTCAGCTCCAGGATGGGTAGAATCAAAGGCACTTGGGAACCCTGAAGGCAAGGTCTGATCGTGTCTTCCCCACCCTTTTGCTGATCTAGTCTGAGGAGCTGAACAAGCAGGTGGTGTCCAGCTCAGAGCAGCTGCAGACGTGCCAGGCAGAGATCATCGAGCTGAGACGCACGGTCAATGCCCTGGAGATTGAGCTGCAGGCCCAGCACAACCTGGTGGGTGTGGCTGAGTCCTCCTTGGGAGAAATGGGGGGCTGGGATAGGAGTTACTGGTGGGCCCAAAGGGTCCATGGGGCTTCTTCTGGGCAGCTGAGAGAGCCTCCCTGTCTTCCCCACCACAGAGGGACTCCCTGGAGAACACGCTGACCGAGACGGAGGCCCGCTACAGCTCGCAGCTGGGCCAGGTTCAGTGCATGATCACCAACGTGGAGTCACAGCTGGCTGAGATCCGCAGTGACCTGGAGCGACAGAACCAGGAGTACCAGGTGCTGCTGGACGTGCGGGCCCGTCTGGAGTGTGAGATCAATACATACCGGTGCCTGCTGGAGGGCGAGGACTGCAAGTGAGTATGGGCTGGAGGATTATGGGAAAATGTGTAGGGGGTTAACCACATGATATTATTGCACAAACACATTGGCCACATTTTTTATTCACCCAACACTGCACATAGATTGTGTGTCTATTCTGCAATCATTTAGAAAATGTAGAAAGGCCTTGGTGAAAGCCATACCTCATGGGCCTCTGGGTGGTAACAGTGGGGAACTGGTTGGGAGATTGATACTCACAACAGTTACAGCTGAGGGAGGCAGATAGTGAGAGCATGAGATCAAGAGATTACATTTTTCAAGAGGACAACTTTCCACCTTTGCACATGGCATGCTGTGACAGGGACAGGGATTTGGTAACCATCAAATTTGATCCCAACCCACTCTAACTGCTGAGAACTTTGATTGTTTGTTTCATCAAGCACCTGAGGGTTTCTTCTCTTCCCTCGCCAATCCATTATTAATCTCTGTCTCCCCAGGCTCCCTTGCAACCCCTGTGCCACCACCAACGCTAGTGGCAGCTGCTGTGGGCCCTGTGGTGGCTGTCAAAAGCGTTGTTAATTTGAAGACTGGCATCCTCTTTGAAGAAGTTCATGAAGCTGTTTACGGCAAGCGCAGGAGAAGTCCCAGGTCCCACCTTTGCTGGAACTTGTTTCTCACTTAGAAGTAGAGTCAGGCCAACTATGATATCTTCAGACACTGAAACGCTTTCCACATCCAAAAAGGAAAGACACTTCATCAAGCACAGTGTCTGAAAACTGTGTCCTGTCAAAGGTTGAGTCTCTGTGGGGGAAATCCAGCTCCCTGAATATGGAGCTTCCAATGTGACCAGATGGAAGCTCCTGATTGGACTGTGATGTCTCCTGATTCTCTTGTTTCTTTGGCATTCTCTGGAATGCAAGAAGGTTGCTTCATTGACTTCTCAATAAAGTTTATTTCTCTGGCATAGTAAATGTGTCTCATTCATGGTCAGGTCACGCACTATAAAGAACTGGTCATGTTTTATAAAAATATCCCTATATAAAGAGGGGTGATGTAGGTGACATCACTGCTTCTATTATGGCTCACTGGTAAATTCTTATGGAGAAGGAGAAGTGTCATTCTGGAAGACTCCTGCCCAGAGAAGACCATGCAGAAAACTTGGCCTTTGGCACCTCTGTTCATCTTGCCTTTGTAGTAGGACTTTTGGAAATTCTGAAACTCTTCCAAAAACCTTGCTTTTATGTCCATGGTCACCTTTCTCATTCCAATGTATTAGTTCATTTTCTTCCAAGTTTCCAGAGGGACTAGCTTCTGTAGAAACTGCTCAGAGAACGACCACCCTCTTACCAACTTCTTGGCTGCAACTATGTCTCCAGGAGAAGTACCTCTCCTTGAAGCAGACCTTCCCAGACTCCCACCATCCTTTACTGTCTGGGTCTTATGATATTGCGAGCTGCCTGTCTCCTATCTCCTGATGTGCTAAAATTAAAAACAGAGAAAAATACCCATATACTCCAGTGCATGGAGAACTAGTCCTTCTATGCTGACAGACACATGGGTCTTGGGACACCCACGGGATAGTTTCACTTAATGTCAGGTGATCCCATCACATTTAATTAGGCTAAAACTTATCTGTATTGTACTGGTTCATCTTGGAATGTACTTGTCAAACCCAACATTTTTTAGAAAGTCCCCTTAAATGGAAGACTCCCAGGCAGAGTCTCCTTGATGCCTCTCTTCCATTTAACTCTTTTATTTAGCCTTGGCTCAAGACCATCATGTTTTTTCTACAACCTCTTCATTTATTTCCTGTTCCTCCCTGCCCATAAGCATTAACCATACCCCAAACTTATTTATTTCATTGTTGAATTTTCAAAGATCTCAAATATATAGTTACTCTCTCAAGTCTCTATTTAATTGAACTTTTTGGCCACAGTCATTGATTGTGTATGTGTTGGTACTGTGAGATGTACTGAGAATTCATAGGTAAGTGGTCCACAGCATGATCATAGTCTGGAATGAATAAGAACAAGAAACAGCATCATAGAGATAAACATCAATGTGACTCAAAAGTGATGTAAATAAAAGAGGATGACATTCAGGTGGATGAATGATGAGACTCCAAGAAAATTTCATCGGGGCTTTGAAAAGCCAAATATTCTCTTCTCATAAACTTTGTCTGCTGTCTCATTGGCCCTTCAACAGAGATGGTATCTTCACCTAATTAATGCCTACTGCAAACCATAGAATACTGTAAGTTGAATAAGGAGCAGTAACACTAATGAGAATCATGAGGAGGTTGTTAAAACTTTATATACTTCCCATAGTTTCAACTTCAATCAATGATCATGATGTGATATTGGCATAATTCTGAAACAAATTTTGATAGGGGTGTATTTGGATGTTAGGAGTGTGTGCAGGTCTAAGAAGAGGGAACGTTTTTCTAGGTATGAACTTGGCACATAAAGAGACGAGAAGACTGGAGGTGTGTTAAGGGCATTACAGATCAATTTCTGAAAAGGGGCAGAAGATAAAGGTAGTTGTGGAAGATAAAACTTCAGAGGTAGGTAGCACCATCTCTGAGTACCTTGAAGGATTTCTGGGAAATTTGATATTTGCTCTACCTGGAAGAATTTCTAGGCTGGGTTGTGATGGGTCCTAAAACTGGGTAGGGTTTGGCTGTCAAGAAAGGAAGATCAATAGGACTTAATGAGAGACAACAAGGACTGTGATGGGTGGAGGTAAAGGAGAGGGTGGGGCAAGGAAGTGTGAACTTAAGAGGCACAACATGGGATATGGGAGTTGATTGGAGGTAGAGGAACAAAGGAGAGAGAAGGAAGGAAACTAGCCCTAATTGACCCTCCTGTGGGCCCATAGGAGCCCAAAGTTTTTGAACCTGAGAACACGAAACTAGGTTAGATCTCCAAAGGAGAGGGGTAGAAAAATTCTGGGCATGATATAGGAACATTCCCTTAAACAAGATAGCAGTGAGGTAAGACTTGTGAAGACTGCCAAGGGGGAGATGTTAGAATATGGAAGAACTTTGGGAACCAATGATAGAAACTCAGAGTGGCCTAGGACTCTCTTGACATCCAGAACAGTAAGTTCGGCTTTCATTTAACTGGGTCTCCAAAGGTAAATACCACAGTAGGTTCTCTTCCTTTGGAAAAGGAAGTGGAGAAGCAACTGAAATAATACAGAAGTCAAAAGTATTTAGCTCTTCAATGAGTGGAAGGCCAATGGCATCCTTCTTGAAGAAATGAACAATCTACTGTGGAATTTACTCTGTTGGATATAACAATAGGGAGTTCACTGGGTAACTGTGAATACAACTAGTTCTATGGGAAGCCTGGGGAAGAAATACAATTTGGCTACATCAAGCCTCTCATTCAACTGTGAATTGGATGCAAAAGTTCAGTCCAACACATTCAGATTTAACACGAGGCTTAGTTTGCCTTATTAATTCTGTGAATTGCGTGGAATGTTTTAGCCCCTGCTCTTCCCTTTGTTGTGGAGAATAATAACACAAACAGGTTTTAATTTCTTCTTTGAATGGTGCCAAAATTCAATTTCCCAGCAGAGGACAATTGCGTTAGATTGTTTGAGATGTATCACCTTCATCTTGACTCCCTTGGGAGTTAAGCTCAGAGAGATGAACTTCTCATGTCTCTGACTTGCTGAGTCCCTTCAGATGCCCATTAGGATGTCATTCTAATTGGGAGTCCAAGACTGAGTGCAAGAGAAACAATGGATCTGGTGAGGGTTTGAGGAATGAACTCTGAATCCCTCATTGTTCATCTTAAGACTGACTGGGATCCTCCAGGTCCTCCTTGGATTGTCCCTCACTGGAAATACTGTTTGAGCATCTTTTCAGAGCTAAGCCTTTTAGTCAAGTTCATGAATTATCATCACAAATTCTCCCCTCAATGCAGTAAGACCAGGGGGTTGGCAAGTAGGTAACTACTTTCTGTAGGGCAGCTTGCAGATGGCATTAGGTACTATTCTTTGGACCAGCTCTAATTGGGGCTGGCCCAACAGGTGGTGTTGGTTTTGAAGAGAATTTTCAGTTCTCCAGTGGGGGATTTTCTTTTCTTTTGTGCAAGTCAGTCTTCTTGGACTGTGCCCAGTGATACCTCTCCTTGTTCTCTCCTTGCTGTTGGTAACCATCAAAATATTATGAATCTTTAGGTGACCTATATGCTATTTTGCATTTCCCCAAGAATGCATTTATGTTTCTCATGGTGAGAATTTCAGGTGCAAGTCCCCCACCAAAAGGGAAGAAGGTTTGGGGAACAGGGTTTGAAGTAGGAGATCTCTCAGTGGTTTCAGAGTCTGTCACAGGGAGAATGACTTAGCTACTTATTGGCCCTGACTCCTCTCCGTGGCTATGTGCCACTGATGAGTTTGTGTGTGATCTCTCCAAGGAAAATAGCCTTGGAATTTATAATAAATGGCATCCTTAAACCTCAACTACAATTTGCTAGCATCTTGAGCCCAGAAGCCTGACTCCAGCGTCTGACACAATTACCTGGGCAGGTCTAAAACCTTTCTGTTTGGTAGGATTTGATTTGCTCATCATGTTTATTGATGGGTCATTGGTTATAGACAATATCATTGCTTTTGTAAAGATAAACATTCACAATACATAGCAAGTGTATAAATGAAACACAACTGCCTTCTAGAATTTCTGAAAAGCTAATTGAAACTTGACTCTTGTTTTGTTTCTTAGGCTGCAAATGGTAGTGCTCAGGGGTTAATTCCAGTTCTGTGCCTAGGAGTTACCTCTGATGGTCCTGCTGGACCATGTAATGCCAGGGATAGACCTAGACCTCCTGGACACAAAGTATTGCTCAGTAAGCCATCTCTCTGGTCCAAAACTTGTTTTTTTCTGCAACAGACCCACATACTCACAACTATTATGATCAAATGATCAGAAAACTGTGGAGCCATCATGGTGATCCTTACTTTAGATGTGGAGCAGTCAATAGCAGGAATGCAATCTCTAGACTTGGCCCTTCACTTTTTGAAGATAGAACAATTATTTTCTGGATTATTCTGTTTTTGCTACAGTATCATTTTAAGGGACATATTTACCAGTCTACAGCATAGTATTTGTTTCCAAACTCTTAAAAAAGTGGCAAATGATGCTTTGAAATATGAAAAGTCATATGAGAAGGTAAGAAAAATGGAGAAAAGCTAAAGATTCCAGGTACTTGTTGAATAGTTACTTGATCCCACCCAGTTGAGCTTCAATCTGTGCACTACCAATTTTTAACCAACACTTCCACCTCTGTTCCATGGCTCTCTCTAGTTGGGGGTGCAGGCAGGAGGAGATGAACATTGAGGGCTGTGAACTTAGGTGAAGACTCTTGGCACCTCAAAGTCTACATTCCGGGAGTTCACATGCTTATTCCAAAGCACCTGTCAGCTATGAAAGCATGTTTGAAGTCTGCCTGGAGGGTGTTCAGACTCACCTGTGAACATGTGTTGACAGTCACCAAGTGCTTCTGAGCTGGTCAAGATGATGGAAAGCCTGGCAATTTATCCACCTCATTAGAATTGGTTTCAAATGATATCTGGCTTGTTCCTTCAAATAAAGGCGCCTTTAGAAGATGAATATTTGCCTCCGATTCTAAGCAAAAGAAATGTCACAGACTCTGAGGGCAAGTTTGAAAAAGGTGCATTCTGAATAAAGGAGC